TATGTAGTTTATAAATATACAATTATATGTAAGGATATGTTTTTCATAACCAAACTGCTATACATGTATATCTCGAACATGATCTATAATTTCTGATAAAATGCAAAAATGCCCTTTCTCGGTCATTTATAGCCTTACTGGGAATCTCTGACGTATATATACAGAATAACTGTTTCCTGCAACCTGAAATATTTTGATTTGAAGGCTAGTATTACCGAGCGGTTTTAAGACGATGCCAGACTGTCCATGCTAAATAGATATCGTATTAGAGGTAACAATATGGTGTACCCTTTAAACGCTCGCTTCACACAAGACAACACACTAGAACGTGTCACTTTCATCTCTTAACATATTTATGAAATGCTCTTGATAACATCCTTGTCATCTCTGTGTTAGACAATCATATATTAATTAAGAGTCGCATGGATAGATCGTGTTGAATGTTGTATCGTTGTGTGTGTGTGTAAGTTACCACTCGAGTTATCATATAACATACTCCAACAGCGAGACTTAACACTGTACTGTTTGTATGGAAGTATCTACTGTACGTATTATCTGCTGTCGAATCTAATTTAGACCTGTAATACATGTGTAACATTTGAATGTTATTTCAATGCCTCCGCTAGGAATCGAACCCGGGACCCCTGGTTTACTTGTCTGACGCTCAACCAATCGAGGCTAGAGAGAAGTTCTCTCTATTCGAGTGGTATATTGCGGCTAGTATTTTACCAGGGTTACATAAGTTAAGGGACAGGGTTACACATATTAAGGGACAGGGTTACACATGTTTAGGGACAGGGTTACACAAGTTTAGGGACAGGGTTACACAAGTTTAGGGACAGGGTTACACAAGTTTAGGGACAGGGTTACACATATTAAGGGACAGGGTTACACATGTTTAGGGACAGGGTTACACATGTTTAGGGACAGGGTTACACAAGTTTAGGGACAGGGTAGGGACAGGGTTACACAAGTTTAGGGACAGGGTTACACAAGTTTAGGGACAGGGTTACACAAGTTTAGGGACAGGGTTACACATGTTTAGGGATCTGTGCCAACAATGTTCTTTTCCCCGGTAATGACATGGTCAATAAATTCTATAGATGTATGCAACTAAGACATATTTAAGTTGATGCTTTATTGTTTCATTTTTTTACCTCAAATACTCCGAATGACAAACAGGCCAAGGGTTATAACATTAACAAAATGTCTACCTAGTTATTAAACGAGTCACATTTACCTACTTTCAAAGTCATCTGACATAAAATGAATATTCACCAAATAATCCATAACGTAAGTGTGCATGTGTATATTCTTAAAGGTGCCATTATTTAAATGAATTAAAACGTGACATGCAGGTTACGACAAACGCCATGAACTTTAAAGTCAGTGTTTACCACCTGCTATGTCAAAGATTGTACAAAAAGTACAAATGAATAGAACCATTTGGTACAAATTTAGGGTTAGATAAAGAAGAGCCAAGCATTTAATTAAACAACATTATGCAGTAATTTGGTGCTATTTAGCATGATCAGTATTCAAACTATCACCATTAAAAACATCAAGAATAAGAAATAAAAAGACTTCTTATGAATGCAACAAAACAAAAATGGTCTTCTACTGAATTCCAGGTGTAAATCATTGTAATGTATCAATATAACTACATATATAACAAAACGTGTGCTAATTGGTCGTCAGTCACACGGCGAAAGGAACAGTGGTGTCTATCTATTAACGAAAATCACACGTGTGCTAATTGGTCGTCAGTCATACGGCGAAAGGAACAGTGGTGTCTATCTATTAACGAAAATCAAACGTGTGCTAATTGGTCGTCAGTCACACGGCGAAAGGAACAGTGGTGTGTATCTATTAACGAAAATCACACGTGTGCTAATTGGTCGTATGTCACACAGCAAAAGGCACAGTGGTGTCCATTAATAACGAAAATCACACGTGTGCTAATTGGTCGTCAGTCACACGGCGAAAGGAACTGTGGTGTCCATTAATAACGAAAATCACACGTGTACTAATTGGTCGTCAGTCACACGGCGAAAGGAACAGCGGTGTCTATCTATTAACGAAAATCAAACGTGTGCTAATTGGTCGTCAGTCACACGGCGAAAGGAACAGTGGTGTCTATCTATTAACGAAAATCACACGTGTGCTAATTGGTCGTCAGTCACACGGCGAAAGGAACAGCGGTACCTATCTATTAACGAAAATCAAACGTGTGCTAATTGGTCGTCAGTCACACGGCGAAAGGAACAGTGGTGTCTATCTATTAACGAAAATCAAACGTGTGCTAATTGGTCGTCAGTCACACGGCGAAAGGAACAGCGGTGTCTATCTATTAACGAAAAATACATGTGTGCTAATTGGTCGTCTGTCACACAGCGAAAGGAACTGTGGTGTCCATTAATAACGAAAATCACACGTGTGCTAATTGGTCGTCAGTCACATGCCGAAAGGAACTGTGGTGTCCATTAATAACGAAAATCACACGTGTGCTAATTGGTCGTCAGTCACACAGCAAAAGGAACTGTGGTGTCCATTAATAACGAAAATCACACGTGTGCTAATTGGTCGTCAGTCACACAGCAAAAGGAACTGTGGTGTCCATTAATAACGAAAATCACACGTGTGCTAATTGGTCGTCAGTCCCATGCCGAAAGGAACTGTGGTGTCCATTAATAACGAAAATCACACGTGTGCTAATTGGTCGTATGTCACACAGCAAAAGGCACAGTGGTGTTTACTACTTACGTCGTTGCGAGACATTTTTGTTTTCACTGCAATTATCACGATTTCTCAAATGTCGAGTTCAAATTCTCTTTTGACAAAAAAGATATACACAAGTAAAATTTGTGAAGTTGTACTTCCATATAGGCTGTGAAAAAGTCTAGGGAAATAAAGTACATGTAACTTTAAACAATTCGTGTAATAAAATACATGTCGTAATACCTTCCGGCACCATTGTTATTTTTAGATATGTGTCATTGCTCGCGCCGACCATCCTTACTAGGTTGTTATAATACTTATGCGTCACATGTTTGTATTCATTCAGAAAAGACAAACATACAATGGTTCATATTTCAGTACGTGTTCAATACTGTAGTAGAATGGCCTGTGTGGTTCACACCTGTACATTACCGGTCACGTTCCAACACAACCAATAGTTGTTACCTCACTGTCTTATTTTTTCTACATGTGTAACTTTTTATGTACCCTGGTAAATTGCATCGCTTAGACTAAGAAAATATCCCGTTAACAAATTGTTCCATGACATTGTATCACGGACTTGCCACTGCTGGCTTAACATGCATGGTATACACACGTATTCGACGCTGTTCTAAAATTATCTGATAATTTTCGGATTTTATTTACTTCTGGGGGTTGATGCCTCTAGCCGTTTAGATTTTGACTTTTCTTTCGATCACTTTGGATTTTCCTCAGTCGTCTCTTAGGCTTCAAAATTTGGGTCCTTACCATCACTGGCGAGTGCTAGAAGGACGAAACATTTCTATGATTGAGTTTAATTCATTGTTTGGCTCTACTTTATCTAACTCTAAATCGTTCAAAGGCGTTATTCACTTGTGAGTCTTTTGCACAATCATTGTTATATACCTGGTTGAGATACTACAACTGTCTTGGGTAGCGAGCGGCAAGCCACATGGTGTTCAATGAAATGGCAACCAGCTACTGCAATGAGACCACAGTCGTTCACATGGCGATAACGCCTGGTAAAAACATCGCTTTAGATCTAACCCCGTGACCTCTAGCCCCGTGACCTCTAGCCCCATGTCCTCATATGTCTTCTAACCGCACGCTCTATTCTGTATTCTTTTTGTAGGGAATAGGTAGAAATCTATGCGATGATTACAATGGTATCTTTGTATTATATAAAACATCACGAATTATTTTAAAGTAAATTTCTCTGTGGCATATATCTGCTATATGCTACATGATATAGTTTATTATACAAGTTTAAATGTTATATCGACTGGAAATGCTTATGCATGTCTCTGTTAAGGGTGAGATTGTGACAACAAATATCAACTTCGGGCTAAATAGTGACCTTTACCATATCACATTGAACTTAAGTTCTTTGATAGGAAATAAAAGGTTTTGACAACGTTTTAAATTGACGATTGTTACAGACAGAATGTTATTTCGAAATTCATCGAACCATTTTCTATTTTGAGATCTGTCACATGACATCTGGACAATCCTTAAAAGATGAATTATCTTTCCATAGCAACAGAAAAAAGTTAGATAATAACACAGAGTAATATACGTAATAGTTCCATTTTTAGCATTGATTCACGTGTCCACTTAAGTACGCGACTGTGAAATGAGATGTTTTTGTTGAGACGATACCTGATCAGCTGACTATGTAGGTAAGGACAGGTTGTGAATATAACCTATCGTTTTTATTTTATCGTAAAATCAAATGCGTGTGACGTGCTGCAAATATAATTTTATGATCTGTTACAACGCGCTCATGAAGATACTACATGTACAATGTATATACCCGTCTGTGTACATAGCTTGTCAGACCTGTCTGTTAACTGGGTCATATCGTGTCTGACTCGGGTACACAGACATCGACCCGGCTACAAGTGTATAGAATGTGATTAGACTTGCTCAAGTCATTACATACTTTTCGCGATGTGTGAATGAAATAAATTAATGATAGTAATAAACTGTTGTTCCAAGAAGATAATGGGAACCCGTACATTAGAAGTGTTAACATGTAAAATGTAGGCCTGTAATATCGATAATGCTGTTTTATACGATTCTGTATCAAAACAAATTGTTACTGTACTAAGTACATATATGTGTAAAAAATTGTACATGTATAGAAGGTCAAACCACAACAGGTCGACACTCGGACTCAGTCACATCATTGATAGCCCTTGATACAAAATTCACTATGACTTAAAACCACCCATAAGTAAAAAGGGATTGAATGTCGTTCTACAAATAAATTATAAATATACCTGTTGGGAATGCCACTGAGCTTCCGCTGTGGGGAACACACTGCATGGAGCCTGCTCCTCTGCAAAACCCACTTTCGTATATCTGGTTCCCAGGTCGATGACAACACTTTTCCTGCTGTCCAGGGTGGGTTGGACCAGTATGTCACCACTCTGATCTAAAACGAGAGCCGACAGGTCCATGTTATCCAGCTGTTGTAGAATATAAGCGCACCAATGTGCACAACAGCTTATATTTTATTTTGTTTACATTTTTAGCTATGACTCATATGTACAGATTCTACTTCCGCTAAGGACACGTGATAAATTTCCGGAGCATAGGAACAGATATTATAAAGTACTGCATAAAATAAAGTCTTGCTTAAGATCTTATTTTGAAAAAGAAAGAAAAAAATACGTGGACTGGTCGTGTAATGACAGTTTTAAGACAGGAACGTATAACACATATGCTAGTACAGTCCGTCACAGGAGTTATCGTGTTAACATTTGTGTATGTAGATTCGCTTCTGAATCGCAACCTGCAACGCGATATACCATGCCCTTTTCTGGTGACCTTTGCAAGATGTTGATGCCTGACTATATAGAATATAGATAAATCTGAGATAATAACCACAATTATTATAGATTGCTACCATTTCTGTATGCCAAGCCGGGTCACATTTACACTAAATATACCTTGTTTTACACTGCGGTGTATTTTATGTGTTGTTTCTATTTGTTTTACATCATGTTTTATGTCGGATACCATCTCCTCTGAGCTTTTTTACATGTTAACCAAGTTCGACTATATATATATCTTCTTTATTTTCACAAACAATCGATAGACACAAATTCGGGATAATGTTAAAGACGGAGATCACAGTCCACAAACCAAGGTAGCTCGCCACGAAAACATATTAAATTCTTTAAATAAGATTACACAAATACTATATTAGAACGCTTGATAAACTTCGAGCTTTAGTAAGACTTTTACTAATCTCGGTGTCCCTATTAAATAGTGTGTGCCACTCATATGATTGATCCCGGAGTTTTATCGTTACAAGCTCCTCTTTATCACCCGAATTGTTTACGGCCAATGTATCTTGTGTATTTACTCACGTGAGCGCAAAATGTGTCACTATCTTAATTCACAATAATTGGACTATCACCACATCACCTGAAAAAAGAGCCGGTATCATCATTTATGTCTTGAGTGTATGTGGCCTCCACCATGTGGACGATACGGATTGTGTTTTTAATTAGCATTGGGCATCACGTGATCATTGCCAACCCCACGTGCACGAAGACATCAGCATGCGCATGCAAGTTCCCGTATGGAGCAGGGGTGGACCTGTCGAGCTTGGATAGTAATGACCCGAAAAATCCTACGTAAATATAAATTTACTTAATTTTGATTCAATTAATCTGATGTGAAAGTGCTATCCCCGGGTAACCGTGGCCTGATGTACGGTTGTTATAAACACAGTACCGACAACAGTCAGCGTCCTGGTCGTGTCCCTATGTTTTACACTGATTCTATGTAGACAGTTTGGTCACCAAACCTGCCAGCTTTCCCGATTCAGTCGGGTGTCTCCCGATTTTCACTCCCCGGCCCCGCCTCCCGATCGTATGGATCAAAATTGGAGTAAGTGACCGTCACAATACCATCCGTATGACGTCAATTCACAGAGTGACATTATTTCACACATGTCGTGCTACTTTAACTTTTGAATAAAATAAAACTTTTTAACCTTTTCATTTTAACATCCACACTTTGAGTAAAAGATTACTCTACTTCATGGCTGTCATGATTAACTTATCATAATTTATCACATGGGCTGTTTGGCATGTGGTGTTCGTTATATTACGGTACACGGATGTTTAGCAATATAGCTAATACATAAAAACAAACAAACAACAAGCGAAAACCAAACAAATGACAAAACGTCCCTGGGACCTATTCCCTTGTTATCTGTTGTTTTCATTTTCTTCTGTCTTCAGTTTCCCAGACATATTTCCCGACAGCGGAAATGACGCGTTTTCATGGAATCCCTGCTCAGCGTTCGATGAGGGCGATGGTTGTCTGAGCGTAGCGGTATGGAATGTCTTTTTTTGTTTATATATCTTAGAAAACGTTCGATTTTTTATCATTATTATAGGAACTGATACAACATAGAACGAGCACAAACCAATACTTCATCTTTTTGGAACTCTTCAGTGAACCAGAAAGGAGATAAGAAAATATAAATTGTCAGAGTTTGTGGAATACTATAATACGTTTTTTTTTTCTGTGTGTCTACTTCGCTAAAACTGGTGATTTATAATTTAGCATTAAATGACATAATATAGTTTAAATTTTTATTCTTTAGAATGTGTGAGTGGGCGAAATAAGCCTGTTATATGATATGAAAGGACGGGTACACCAACGTCATTACCTAGTCTATCGAGGTGACAATGAAACGTTTAAAAATTTGATTACAAGTTGTACATATCACGTACAGGTCCGAGAATTTAACCGTGCCAAGAATAGTAAATGATCTGTAGGATGGGTTGGGTGTGTGTGTTAAAATATCACCCTACAGAGCTTACAGTACAACCCGTAAAATCTCACCCTACAGTACCACATCTAAAATATCACCCAACAGAACTTACAGTACAACATATAAATTATCACCCTACAGAGCTTGCAGTACCACATGTAAAATATCACCCTTCAGAGCTTACAGTACAACGTAAAATATCACTCTACAGAGCCTACAGTACCACTTGCAAAATATCACCCTACAGAGCTTACAGTGCAACCTGTAAAATATCACCCTACAGAGCTTAAAGTACCACATGTAAAATATCACCGGTTAGAGCTTACAGTACAACATGTAACATATCACCCTACAGAGCTTACAGTACAACATGTAAAATATCTCCCTACAGAGCTTATAGTACAACACGTAAAATTTCATCCTACAGAGCTTATAGTACAACATGTAAAATATCACCCTACAGAGCTTACAGTATCACGTGTAAAATATCACCGGTCAAAGCTTACAGAACAACATGTATCACCAAACAGAGCTTACAGTACAACATGTAAAATATCACCCTACAGAGCTTACAGTACAACATGTAAAATATCCCCCTACAGATCTTAAAGTACAACATGTAAAATATCACCCTACAGAGCTTACAGTACAACAGGTAAAATTTCATCCTACAGAACTTACAGTACAACATTTAAAATATCACCCTACAGAGCTTTCAGTACCAGATGTAAAATATCACCCAACAGAGCTTACAGTACCACATGTAAAATATCACCCTACAGAGCTTACAGTACAACACGTAAAATATCACCCTACAGAGCTTACAGTACAACACGTAAAATATCACCCTACAGAGCTTACAGTACAACAGGTAAAATATCACCCTACACAGCTTACAGTACAACATGTAAAATATCACCGTACAGAGCTTACAGTACCACATGTAAAATATCACCCTACAGAGTTAACAGTACAAAATGTAAAATATCACCCTACAGAGTTAACAGTACAAAATGTAAAATATCACCCTACAGAGCTTACAAAATGTAAAATATCACCCTACAGAGCTTACAGTACCACATGTAAAATATCACCCTACAGAGCTTACAGTACCACATGTAAAATATCACCCTACAGAGTTAACAGTACAACACGTAAAATATCACCCTACAGAGCTTACAGTACAACATGTAAAATATCACCCTACAGAGTTAACAGTACAAAATGTAAAATATCACCCTACAGAGTTAACAGTACAAAATGTAAAATATCACCCTACAGAGCTTACAGTACAACGTAAAATATCACCCTACAGAGCTTACAGTACCACATGTAAAATATCACCCTACAGAGCTTACAGTACCACATGTAAAATATCACCCTACAGAGTTAACAGTACAACACGTAAAATATCACCCTACAGAGCTTACAGTACACACGTAAAATATCACCCTACAGAGTTAACAGTACAAATGTAAAATATCACCCTACAGAGTTTACAGTACAACACGCAAAATATCACCCTACAGAGCTTACAGTACAACATGTAAAATATCACCCTACAGAGCTTACAGTACCACATGTAAAATATCACCCTACAGAGCTTACAGTACAACGTAAAATATCACCCTACAGAGCTTACAGTACCACATGTAAAATATCACCCTACAGAGCTTACAGTACCACATGTAAAATATCACCCTACAGAGTTAACAGTACAACACGTAAAATATCACCCTACAGAGCTTACAGTACAACACGTAAAATATCACCCTACAGAGTTAACAGTACAAATGTAAAATATCACCCTACAGAGCTTACAGTACAACATGTAAAATATCACCCTACAGAGCTTACAGTACCACATGTAAAATATCACCCTACAGAGTTAACAGTACAACACGTAAAATATCACCCTACAGAGCTTACAGTACAACGTAAAATATCACCCTACAGAGTTAACAGTACAAATGTAAAATATCACCCTACAGAGCTTACAGTGCAACCTGTAAAATATCACCCTACAGAGCTTACAGTACCACATGTAAAATATCACCTTACAGAGCTTACAGTGCAACCTGTAAAATATCACCCTACAGAGCTTACAGTACACGGTAAAATATCACCCTACAGAGCTTACAGTACCACATGTAAAATATCACCCTACAGAGCTTACAGTACCACATGTAAAATATCACCCTACAGAGTTAACAGTACAACACGTAAAATATCACCCTACAGCGCTTACAGTACAACGTAAAATATCACCCTACAGAGTTAACAGTACAACACGTAAAATATCACCCTACAGAGCTTACAGTACAACGTAAAATATCACCCTACAGAGTTAACAGTACAACACGTAAAATATCACCCTACAGAGCTTACAGTACAACATGTAAAATATCACCCTACAGAGCTTACAGTAACACATATCATATAGATTTTTGAAATATTTTCCGTGTGAAATTAACGTGAAATACAGTGTAATGTTAACCAATAAATTGATTGCTTTTGATGTTGTTTATTTAGCTATGTGACGTCCATCAGAATCCGAACAACACAGAGTATTTCCCTATAGGACTCCAGGACACGGCGGATTTCTCTTACAACAGTAACGGCCAGCTACAGATTACTTATATCTACGCAGGCACTGGTGGAGCTAAGCGGTTAGTATAGTAAAGAAACATTATCTACGGAACGTCAAATATAGAGAACCAACGTCTCGTGTAGCGTCTTCATTAGCCAACAAACTTAAAACATGACAAAAGTATTTCTGTTTTATTATTCACTGTATCAATATCTACATCTGATATAGCTAACGAAGGTTTATTATTGCAAACGTCAGCTTTATCAAACAAATAGCTGATATTATGAACAAACGACGTCAAACATAGCAAACAAATGTCAGCTTTATCAAACAAACGTCTAACATAGTTAGTTTGCCTAATGGTTAAACTGCCCGGGTTCTCTTTTTGAGAACGTTAACTGATATTGGTGGACCTTGATTTATCTGTGCGATGCCGCAGATGAATTAGATGATTCTCTTTCTTTTGTTCACATTGTTCCTTTTCCTTTATGTCTTTTGTACAATGTTTGGTTATACTGTGGCTAATTCTAAATTTGTATATAAAGCTGCAATTCACTTGCGTGTCTTTGGTAAGTCTTTGCTATTGTTTTATGGTCTTTTGACCGACTGTGTTAACGTGACGATATTCTAATTTCCGTAGACAGTCCTTCGTTACCCTCACCTGTGATCCCCAACAGAGTGCACAATTCTCTGCCACTGGTGAGAATCCGAGCGGAAGTGGCATGTATGTAAGTAATACTTCTGACTAGTGATACAGTGGTCGCAGCACGAGTAAACATACGAAAGGATTCTCTGTACAAGGCACAAACAAATGTTGTATTGCATTTTTCTTGACATTCATTGATGCCTGCTTGAACACACTTTGTACCTATACAGTTGGCGCTGTGTATTCATTAACATCATCAGCTGGGTCCATCAGTCTCTAGACGTTTAAACCATTGTCCTGGAAGGTCCTCGTAATGATGGGTTGACAGTAGCAATCAACTCAATACCCATTAATGTATTGCTTTCTGTCTCGTCCCGTTTACTCCACAACCAGCGTGATGCACGTTCCACAGCATCAGCTAATAATCCGCAATCTTACGTGTCTCCCTGAATTCACCCAAAGCCTGTAGTGTCCTCCAGACTGAGCATGCCGGAAACCCCCTGCAACCTATTTCTACAAGAAAATACGCCATACGCCACCCTCGCTCCCGACACTGTTCCGTGAATTTTACTTACTAGACACTTTTCCCCTCATTACCCTGGTTGCACCACTCCATCTAGGGCACCGATCTTGTCTCATATCCCATGGTTTTGCCTCTTACAGAATGCCATCCCCCTCCACCTTCTCCTAGGCTCCTTTCCCCTCATTACCCTGTGCCTCTTCCAGAATGCCAGTATCTCCCCCCCGCAGCTTCGTTCTCCTGCTACCCAGTTTTACCAACCGTATGAGTGGTGTTTTTCGTCTTTACTACGACCTTGAGAATATGTTTGCTTATTCCCAAAGCCGCTGATCGTGCCTCCACCTGTACCGACTCTGTGTTAGCACGGTCTTGCATGTTAACAGGATATGTCCCATGGTCTCACGTTCTTGGCAAAGTTGGCACTTTGGCTCCTCATCTACTCCTCACTGGTAAAGGTTGGCAGGTGATGGTAAAGTGCCCTTGCTTTCCTTGTCCCTTCCATTAATGTTCATTAGCGTTCTCTGCCATCATTACTCCGCCAGATTCTAAGTCTTCAGAAAAGTAATGGCACCAATAAATAAATCAAGTTTGGCCCAAACCCAATAAAATACAGTAATATTTACTTCTGTTTTATATAGCTCTACAATCTCTACCAGCCAATACAATACAGTGATATTGTAACCCAATAAAATACAGTAATATTTACTTCTGTTATATATAGCTCTACAATCTCTACCAGCCAGGTCACCTTATAAGGGTATTACAATGCATCCTGGGAGAAAAATGATTTTTTAACGAACATGTTTTGATCTGATTGGTCAATTATGAAAATGTCACTCAGTACAAAACATCGCTATATCTCTATCTCGACAACCTCACATTTCACTGCAAAATTGGAACAAAGTGAAATTCTTTGTATTATATTCTTATCAACCACGTCATGGGATCGAGGACTGTCATACTGGCACGCAAGTTCGGCTTTGTGTTACTCATGGTACAGGTGTTTACAACCCCCGATTCATAAAAAAGATGACAATAATTAAATAGAATATTTGAATACGAGTTCAGTGAACGATTTCCCCTCTGAAATCTGCTTTTATGGACCGACCTGGTGAAGCATATGATATAGGATAACACTGAATAGGTGTCATAGATAATTCAGGAGTATGTGTAGTCGTAATTATGTACAATTATATTTTGTAGTATTTCGACCTAACGTCTAAGTTAGCGTGCTACCAAGCTGAAACATCCGGGTCTTCACTCTCCATCGGATCCATCATTTGTATAGCGTGAGTATATGACGTCACATTTCTGATAAAACACTACCGATACATTGAAGATTTAGTATTTCGAGGATGGAAAAAATAAGAATATCCGATTTTCTTAAACATTAGTGTATTTCTTAGTTTTCCTGAATAATATACACAATTTTTTATAAAAAAAAAAAAACCAACAAAAAAAAAAAAAAAAAACCCCCATAGAAAACCATTGATAAATAAAGCAATCACCGACAATTTTTAAACGCCATCAACCATGGTTGACATGATAGTGAAATAAGGACAAGACTTTTTTTAGTTTCTTAAAGAGAACAGATAACATTGTAGGTATACTGATATTCTACAAAGTACAACAATTCCTGATATTCCAGAAAAATGAGTGTGTAATTCATTTAAGAAAAAAAAAAAAAAAAAACAAGCAACGAAATTTTCTTTAAATGTTGTACTTGCACTACTAATGTGTTCTCGGCTACCTACCCGATGATGATGATGATGATGATGATGATGATGATGAAGGTTTCACGTCTCCGTGACTCTGCCCGTCTGGTCTGTTACCTACCGGGTCCGATATCCATATATATATGCCTGGACACACAACTAAAGATCTCTCGGTATTCCCTGAGAAATCAGTCTGACAGCTACATGTAAAGAAGAACGACTCTCGTATCAATGTTTAAATATTAACATGTTCATTGATATATCTTCTTATTGTTGTTAGCGAGCAGAATGTATACTCAAGAAAACAAATTTTTAGAAAGAGACTTTATTGTATCCCACAGATTTTTCAGCCTAATTTTTCTCTACTTCACTGCTGGTATGGTATTTAAGCTTGCCGTCCGAAAAGAACGAGGAACTAACTTAATTGTACATAAAGAAGTTTTAGTGGCTATCCCAGGGCTGGTTAAGGTGAGCACTTACAAACAGACTAGATCTGTTCCACCAATTCATCATCATTGCTAAATTTCACTACAATATTTCAATTTGGTAATACTGTCTGTGTGTCCACTGGATATCTTTTACCAATTAAACTAAGTTCTGTTCAATCAAGTGATACTTCACCACTTATTGAATTTCTGAATGAATTTTTGAAAACTGCATGTTGATCTTTAAATGTTCATTCTCGCTTCGTCGGATATCTTGATCAATTCCACGTTTTTTTATTTGAATATATTGGTAATAAATCAGTCATAGAAGTGTAATATATATTCCCAACATGATGTGAAATAGATTAACATTTTTCTGGTCGTTTTTCACATTTTATTTTACAGGACGGAACAATGTTTATATTCCGAAGAGGACCTCTATCTGAACGGAAGAAACTTTTAAGTTAAATAAAAGAATAAGGTCTAACTTCGTTTTCGTCACAAATGATTGCAGTTTAGAAGTAGTAAATACAATATATCAGAAATTACAGTCAGTGGTAGATCTGTCTTTATTAGGGTATAAGGTATTTAAAGACCTTATCCTGATATCACAGTCATTACGCCGCAACAGGACAATGATTGTATAATGGACTGTCATCCTACAGAGTTGGCGGTGTACTGGCCCCAGGATTAGGTAGGTAGTTAAAACAGAGAGGTGGGGGGTGTTCTAACCCCAGGATTAGGTAGGTAGTTAAAACAGAGAGTTGGCGGTGTACTGGCCCCAGGATTAGGTAGGTAGTTAAAACAGAGAGGGGGGGGGGGGGGGGGGGGGGGGGGGGGGTGTTCTAACCCCAGGATTAGGTAGGTAGTTAAAACAGAGAGGTGGGGGTGTTCTAACCCCAGGATTAGATAGGTAGTTACAACAGAGAGGTGGGGTGTACTAACCCCAGGATTAGATAGGTAGTTACAACAGAGAGGTGGGGTGTACTAACCCCAGGAATAGATAGGTAGTTAAAACAGAGAGGTGGGGATGTACTAACCACAGGATTAGATAGGTAGTTACAACAGAGAGGTGGGGGTGTACTAACCCCAGGATTAGGTAGGTAGTTACAACAGAGAGGTGGGGGTGTTCTAACCCCAGGAATAGATAGGTAGTTACAACAGAAAGGTGGGAGTTTACTAACCACAGGATTAGATAGGTAGTTACAACAGAGAGGTGGGGGTGTACTAACCCCAGGATTAGGTAGGTGGTTAAAACAGAGAGGTGGGGGTGTACTAACCACAGGATTAGATAGGTAGTTACAACAGAGAGGTGGGAGTGTACTAACCCCAGGAATAGATAGGTAGTTAAAACAGAGAGGTGGGGGGGGATAGGGGGGGGGGGGTGTACTAAGGTGGTTAAAACAGGATTAGATAGGTAGTTAAACAGAGAGGTGTACAACCACAGGAGAGGTAGGGTTAAAACAGAGAGGTGGGGGTGTACTAACCCCAGGATTAGGTAGGTGGTTAAAACAGAGAGGTGGGAGGGTACTAACCCCAGGAAAAGATAGGTAGTTTAAACAGAGAGGTGGGGGTGTACTAACCACAGGATTGGATAGGTAGTTAAAACAGAGGAGTGTAGGTGTACTAACCCCAGGATAAGATAGGTAGTTAAAACAGAGAGATGGGGGTGTTCTAACCCCAGGATTAGGTAGGTAGTTAAAACAGAGAGGTGGGGGTGTACTAACCCCAGGATTAGGTAGATGGTTAAAACAGAGAGGTGGGGTGTACTAACCCCAGGAATAGATAGGTAGTTACAACAGAGAGGTGGGGGTTTACTAACCACAGGATTAGATAGATAGATAAAACTGTTGCATGTTTCCTTTAATTGTTCTGTACTTACAATATCTGCGACACTATGACACGATATTTTGATACTGTCAATTTGTTTATAGTTATTTTACTAACTGGATCTAGTCACCACAATATCACTGGTGTTTACGTCCTGGTAATTTATCCGCGTCACCCCAGACCACAGCGAGGACAGAAGACAATAGTTTTTACTACCTATCGTTAGAGATATCTTGTAGTAGAATTCTTAAAATCTGGTGTTTGGTTTTATCTAGAAAAATAAAAGCGATCATAACAAATCCGTTTTATTGCTTAGACTGTTTATTTTATATCTGCCTCGTTGATACATTCTCGTTGGTACGTTCTCTAGCTCCATACATGTGTCTCGTCTTCATATGTAATTTGATTCTTTGTAATATTTTGGTTTACAAGAATTATCCTACATTGTCAAAAAATAAATATAGAAATGTTAAGTTGTTATGTGATAAACTTCAGCCAAGCTAGAGAAAACAAACGTAGGTCATTGCCTATTAGATATAAGGTTCTCCATTGTACTTCCTGTAAAATCCTGTAAAATTTCAGGCCAACAGTCCTGTAACGTACTACAGTGAAAAGGCACGATTAACACTTGGCCCTGTTATAGAAATTATCGGACCTTATAATGATAGGACGGTAAAAAATATGTCATCTATTTATAAATGTTCTACAAGATGTATTCCTGCAATCATCCGTCAGTCTCACCTGTTATCGTTTTCTGCATCGTTCAAAGTGAATTTTGATTTTTTTAATTGATCGAAATGCACCTATCTTTACAGTGTTTAATCGGCATTAACAAATAATGTTTAAATTATAAATATAAAGATACTAACATGTTCATTTAGTCGGCGGCCACGATGTTCATATATTATCTGTTGCTTTGGGTTTCCGTCTTCCACTATCGGCACCCTATTCTCATACCAACAAAAAAACGTTCATTTATCGGCACCCTACTCTCATACCAACAAAAACACGTTCATTTATCGGCACCCTACTCTCATACCAACAAAAACACGTTCATTTATCGGCACCCTACTCTCATACCAACAAAAACACGTTCATTTATCGGCACCCTACTCTCATACCAACAAAAACACGTTCATTTATCGACACCCTACTCTCATAATAACAAAAACACGTTCATTTATCGGCACCCTACTCTCATACCAACAAAAACACGTCACGTTCATTTATCGACACCCTACTCTCATACCAACAAAAACACGTTCATTTATCGACACCCTACTCTCATACCAACAAAATCACGTTCATTTTATCGGCACCCTACTCTCATACCAACAAAAACACGTTCATTTATCTACACCCTACTCTCATACCAACAAAAACACGTTCATTTATCGGCACCCTACTCTCAAACCAACAAAAACACGTTCATTTATACCAACAAAAACACCTACTCTCATACCTACAAAAACACGTTCATTTATCGGCACCCTACTCTCATACAAACAAAAACACGTTCATTTATCGACCCCCTACTCTCATACCAACAAAACTACGTTCATTTATCGGCACCCTACTCTCACGTTCATTTATCGGCACACTACTCTCATACCAACAAAAACACGTTCATTTATCGGCACCCTACTCTCATAATAACAAAAACACGTTCATTTATCGGCACCCTACTCTCATACCAACAAAAACACGTTCATTTATCGGCACCCTACTCTCATACCAACAAAAACACGTTCATTTATCGGCACCCTACTCTCATACCAACAAAAACACGTGCATGGTATTGACAACCTACACCCATACCAACAAAAACACGTTCATTTATCGGCACCCTACACTCATACCAACAAAAACACGTTCATTTATCGGCAACCTACTCTCATACCAACAAAAACACGTTCATTTATCTACACCCTACTCTCATACCAACAAAAACACGTTCATTTATCGGCACCCTACTTTCATACCAACATGTTCATTTATCGCCACCCTACTCTCATACGAACAAAAACACGTTCATTTATCGACACCCTACTCTCATACCAACAAAAACACGTTCATTTATCGGCACCCTACTCTCATACCAACAAAAACACGTTCATTTATCGGCACCCTACTCTCATACCAACAAAAACACGTTCATTTATCGCCACCCTACTCTCATAATAACAAAAACACGTTCATTTATCGGCACCCTACTCTCATAATAACAAAAACACGTTCATTTATCGGCACCCTACTCTCATACCAACAAAAACACGTTCATTTATCGGCACCCTACTCTCATACCAACAAAAACACGTTCATTTATCGGCACCCTACTCTCATAATAACAAAAACACGTTCATTTATCGGCACCCTACACTCATACCAAACAAAACACGTTCATTTATCGGCAACCTACTCTCATACCAACAAAAACACGTTCATTTATCGGCACCCTACTCTCATACCAACAAAAACACGTTCATTTATCGGCACCCTACTCTCATACCAACAAAAACACGTTCATTTATCGGCACCCTACTCTCATGCCAACAAAATCACGTTCATTTATCGGCACCCTACTCTCATACCAACAAAAACACGTTCATTTATCGGCACTCTACTCTCATACCAACAAAAACACGTTCATTTATCGACACCCTACTCTCATACCAACAAAAACACGTTCATTTATCGGCACCCTACTCTCATACCAACAAAAACACGTTCATTTATCGGCACCCTACTCTCATACCAACAAAAACACGTTCATTTATCGACACCCTACTCTCATACCAACAAAATCACGTTCATTTTATCGGCACCCTACTCTCATACCAACAAAAACACGTTCATTTATCGGCACCCTACTCTCATACGAACAAAACCACGTTCATGTATCGATACCCTACTCTCTTACCTACAAAAACACGTTCATTTATCGGCACCCTACTCTCATACCAACAAAAACACGTTCATTTATCGGCACCCTACTCTCAAACCAACAAAAAACACGTTCATTTATCGGCACCCTACTCTCAAACCAACAAAAAACACGTTCATTTATCGGCACCCTACTCTCAAACCAACAAAAACACGTTCATTTATCGCCACCCTACTCTCATTCCCACAAAAACACGTTCATTTATCGGCACCCTACTCTCATACCAACAAAAACACGTTCATTTATCGGCACCCTACTCTCAAACCAACAAAAACACGTTCATTTATCGGCACCCTACTCTCATACCAACAAAAACACGTTCATTTATCGGCACCCTACTCTCATACCAACAAAAACACGTTCATTTATCGGCACCCTACTCTCATAAAAACAAAAACACGTTCATTTATCTGCACTCTACTCTCATACCCACAAAAACACGTTTATTTATCGGCACCCTACTCTCATACCAACAAAAACACGTTCATTTATAGACACCCTATTCTCATACCAACAAAAACACGTTCATTTATCGGCACCCTACTCTCATGCCAACAAAATCACGTTCATTTATCGGCACCCTACTCTCATACCAACAAAAACACGTTCATTTATCGGCACCATACTCTCATACCAACAAAAACACGTTCATTTATCAGACACCCTACTCTCATACCAACAAAAACACGTTCATTTATCGGCACCCTACTCTCATACCAACAAAAACACGTTCATTTATACCAACAAAAACACGTTCATTTATCGTCACCCTACT